AAATAATTATAATGTACCTATAATAAAGTTTGACTGATATTATTATTTGATTAATAATATTCTAATTTATTATAAATTGAGTTCTATTTTAGACAAATCAACTTCAAAATATTGTTTAATTTATCCTATTTTTATGTTGTAGCTTGGATGATACATACGTAAAAATGTTCTTGATATTGGCAATCGAAAATCAATGCTTCATTCATTGGCACAACTACGATTATTTCTAATAAAAATGCAATATATATATAAATAATTGGCTATTTTAGTGCTAGTGTATAATCATGAGTCAGGAATTTTACATTTATCTAATCTTCATAAATGTTGAGGAAACTCTATTGAGGAAAGAATATTTTTATCGTTTAGCTAAATGTAATAATATTGTGTACTTTGTTAAAAAGCATACTATAATTAAATGACGCTGTACTGATAATTGAACTTTTAGAATTTTTGAAAATACACTAAAAACTGAGAAAATTATATTTTAATTCTCAAATGAATTTCGCAGAAGTATGTGTATATGTATATATAATAGCAAAGAAGTCTTAATTAACTGAAGATTTTATTCTATCGTAATTATAAAGTTTTACTTTTTTAATCGTATTATAATATTATACATCTTATTCTAATACTCCATTTTTTACATCGCATGAATCGAGGAAATGGTATTCATTAAAATATAAAATAATATGGTACAAATCTTTAAAGACTGGACCAATATTCATATGTTTTAATTGAAGCAACATCATTATAAGTTTCTATCAGAATTCTTGAAACGACAACTTTCAGCCGCCGTTTTCTTCTGATAAAAAAAAAGTATCGCGTGTCGAAAATAAACTCTTTAGAAAGCTTTTAAGATGATACAAACACGATGTTTATTGCGTCTATTGTTAGTAAGAGACTAAATATCATGGAATAACATTAATATATTAAGAAACAATAGCTGTGATTGAAATGTCTTCGACAATACTGACATTAATATTATCTCTTGCGAAATTAAAACACACTTAAAACTAAATCACATTTCTAATACATTATATGTATAAGATATATGATACACTATAGGTGCGTCGAATCCGCTGTAATTCTTGGTATCCACCGTAATTATAGTTATAATTGACTCACAAGTTAATTGCTATCCTCGAGTATGATGGAAAAAAATACGAGTTATTGTACTCGTACATAAAATTCTTTACTCATATGCCTAGTATTGATCATGACCTGATAATGAAATTTAATTTTCTATAATAAGAATAGTACATTTCAGATGTAAATATGAAATAACAATTCAGTTAATTTAAATATATCATTAAATGCGGAACGATATACGGGTATCTTCGAGCCTTGCGTTACAAAATTTACGGACCCGCATTGCACACATGCAAAGAAATGAAAGACACCCATACACCAGTACAAAAACGCATCTGCATGATCTGCTATTGAAAATTCATGTCTTGAATGGTTTATATGAATGAAAAGTAGGAGGATCCGAAGGACATTGCTCAACGGACAAGAGACGCGGCGGTAGGTACTACTAATTACTTGTACTTTTTATTCCATGCGAATATAATACCGTATCGAAGCAGCCTCAGAGCGAGGAGGTTGATAAAAAAAAAGGAAGGCGTGCAAAGAGAGAAGGTGAGGTAAAAAACAGACACTGCCGCGCGAGAAAGATCGGTGGAAGGAATATGTAAAAGGGGCAGGGTAGGGAGGGGGGTAGTTGGAGTGCATTACTCAAAGCTTTAAAGTCATCTATACGCCATCAGCGACTCACGTATGTATGTGGAGGCCCCAAACCGCGTGTACACGCTCATAAAATCACCATGGCGCAGGAGGCAGGTCGGACTCCTGATTGAGTTACGATTTAATTAGTCCGCGCAGCCAATCAGTAATTAAGATATCCGCTAATCAACGGGCGCAGCCCTTCTTCGATCTCTCTTCTTTACGAGTTCGCTGCTGAAGAATTTTTGCCATGTGCTCTCTCTTTCTTTTTCTCTCTCTTTCTCTTTAAAATATTATTTCTATTTTTTAATATTATTTTTAATTTGTTTCATTTTTTCTTATTAAATTTATAATATTAACCAACTTGAAATTACCACATAATATCTTTTGATTATTCACAATCAAATTAAAGATTTATTAAATTATTTTAATTAAATATTTTTGTGTCATTAGGCATAAAAATTAATTTTATGTTATATTAATTTATATTATATTTTATTTTATATCCAAATTTCTTATGTAGCACATATTACATTATTCTTTTCTATTAGAATTGTGCTTATAGCATTCAGTTTTATTCGTTTTGATGAAAAAAAATACTGAATGTTCCTGGCATCTACCGGGAAAAAACAGAACACACGAAGATAAGTCTAATAAACGCTCACTTTCCTCCGTTATCTTTTTAACATGCTATCTTTTTAACAAATCTGTTTAACATGCACAGTCCAGTCCAAAGAAAAGATTGCACAAATTGTTTTGTGTTTTGTGATTGTATGCTAATAATTTTTTTCACATTGTAAACGATGCACATATGTGTATGTTTATTATTTATAGAATGTAATAGTTCTGTTATAATTTTTAAAGATAAATGTTTCTGGCGAATATGTATATCAAATTAAATTCCATATCAACCAGTTGTATGATATAACGTTTTGATTGCAATTAATAGCCGCCGGCTGCGTTACGGTCGGTTAATTGTCGGAGAAAGATTAATGGCGCGAAATCACGCCACTAGCAGTAGATTATTCGACACCGATTTTTGTATCAATGCCTTCATAAATTTTTGTATGATAGACTTATTGAAAATGAGGCACTTATTTGTGCGAGATATTTTAAGAAAATGTTTACTATTACAGATGACAGGATTGTTGACATAGTCTTGTAAAAAGTTGACAATCTTGTAAAAAAATTATTATTATTATATATTATTATTA